CAGGGGCTCTGAGCTCTCCCCAGAGCTTCTCCTGTCCAGGCTGAACAATCCCAGCTCTCCCAGCCTTCCCTCCCAGCAGAGCTGCTCCATCCCTCTGACCATCCTKGTGCCTYCTCTGGACTCATCCCTTGSTCCCAGGCTCACCCAGAGCCAGCYCTGGGCACTCAGCATCGCCCTCAGCCCTGGCACTGATGGGACTCATGGCATTAAGATCCCACATCCCAGACTCKTCCCACTCCCACAGCCCAGCATTTCTGCCGTGTCTCAATTCCTGMACCATTGTGTTACACCACTGTGCATCTCCTGTTGCTTTTTCATGTCTAGAAGAAGTTCAAGCAATTATTCAACATGTTTTAACCTCCCTGCRTTTGATTTTATGATTAAATTGGGACAAGCTCAGCCCTGCTGCATCACCCACGCAGCATTCCAGAGGGCAGGAGAGCAGGGCGCAGGCAGGACACTGTCACCAGCCCCTGACACCATGTGCTGGCAGGGCTCCAGCCCTCCTGATTTCACTTTATTTTCCTTTGCAGTGCATTTGGTTTTACATCATTCTCTGCCTCCCCTCACAGGCAGCAGAGCTGTGACACCCCTGGGTTTTGAACAATTCCCTTTACAGATTTGGGGTCAATTAGTGCACAATTCACAGCATCACATGATAAAACCTCAAGTTCTTGACGATCTCTGACAATAACTTCACCAAACAAAAAAGAAAAAAATAGAAAAAAAAAAAAGTTGCCACTCACATTTGTAACCCTTGGCCTTTATCGCGACAGAACATTACAAGAATTCACCAGAACTGGTACCAGCAAGGACAGCATGTTGCTAAACCACAGTAATAAACCCCAAACCCATTCCCTCCTCTTTAAATTCACAGATCTGAGCATGTGACAGTCAAACATCACACAGTGTCCCCCCTCGGGGCTGTGACACTGAAAGGGACGGTGCCACAGTGGGGCTGCCCGAGGCCAARGGAGCAGCAAGGCCTTGGGACAATGCACAGGAGCTCAGAAAGCCAYGGCTGCAGATCCCAGAGGATGTGGGGCTTTAGGAAAGAGCAGGTGGGATTCTATTCTAACTGCTCACAGCAAGGGAAACCCAAACATAAAACCAGCCTTCATTTAAAAAGCCTCCGGAAGCAGAATTCATAAAAAAAATTAAAAGTATTCCAACATTTTTACAGAGTAATTTACTATCTTTACTAAATGGCACCAGATTTCAAGTGGTCACGTGGAAGAAAAATCAGTAGCATTTCAAATGTTGCTTTGTTCTAGAAGCAGTTTCTACCCTGGCGTTGGCTGCTAAAAGGTCGAAGTGCACGTGAACTGAGTATCGAGGAATCTTTCCCCTATACAGCTGCTGATTTGGTTTTGCCTCAGGAAGTAGAAAAGATTTTCCATACTCAAGTTATCTACAGGTTATGTCTAGGTATAAAAAAAAGTGTGGCTATGTACAGGAGCTAGGCTGGCAGCCCCGTGTGTCGGCGCAGCCCGTGCCCGGTGTGTCCCCAGCCCCGCCGGGAGCTCGGGGGATCCCGGGGACAGCACCCGGGCACTGCTCTGGCTCCGGGCACAATCGTTCACTCATGATCTGCGCTCACTCTCCCCGCTGTGATTGCAATAACTTAGAGGTTGTTGTATAAAAACGATTCCAGGAACAGAACTCCCTGTGCCACCCCCGCTCCCGCCCCCACCATTGGTTTTGCTAACTGATTACAGAAGTCAAACTAAATCACATCAGGAACTGCAAACACCGCACTCTGCTGCCTTAATCCAGTATGAGCCCCATGTCCAGGTTCTGCATGGAGACGTCCTTGGATTGCCTCATCTTCTCGATGGCCCTGTGGAGATCCTGCTGCTGCATGGGCCGGATCTCGTCCTCATCGTGCCTGGGGACAGAGAGGAGGAGGGTTCAGGGAGGGTTCAGGGGCTGGGACAGCTGTGCCAACAGGCAGCAGCCACCCCTGGGAGCAGCAGCTCTGACAAGGATCCAGCATCACAGTGGAATCCCAGAATCCCTTTTCCAAAGCCCTCCCAGCCCATGGAGTCCAAGCTGTGCCCATCCCCACCTTGTCCCCAGCCCAGAGCTCTGAGTGCCACCTCCAGCCCTTCCTTGGACACCTCCAGGGATGGGCACTCCAAAGCTCCCTGGGCAGCCCCTGCCAAGGCCTGAGCACCCTTTCCATGCAGAAATTCCTGCTGATGTCCACCCTGAGCCTCCCCTGGCCCAGCCTGAGGCCGTTTCCCCTTGTCCTGTCCCTGTTCCCTGGAGCAGAGCCCGACCCCCCCGGCTGTCCCCTCCTGTCAGGGAGTTGTGCAGAGCCACAAGGTCCCCCCGGAGCCTCCTTTGCTCCAGGCTCAGCCCCTTTCCCAGCTCCCTCAGCCGCTCCTGGGGCTCCAGACCCTTCCCAGCTCCGCTCCCTGCCCTGGACATGCTCCAGCCCCTCAATGCACACAGGGATTGCTGCAGGTATGGCAGGTACCAGAGGGTGTCACAGCACCRTGTCACCAGCACTGAAGGCTGGCACTAACCAGAGCTGCAGCAGGACTTGCTGGCTCAGGCACCTCCAGCCTGGGCACCCTGGCACTACYGCTCATTTTGGGAGCCAAASG